AGTTTCATTTCTCTCCAGCGACTAGGTTAGGAATCGAAATACACTAGATGATTTGCTAGAACCCCGGAAGTGCGAGTCCGGGCACCAGCCAATCAGCCAAGAGTCAAACATTCTGTGCTGACAATGATTCCTGAGATCGAGGATTTAAAGTTTAATTTAATCGAGGATTTAATGTTTGGTTAATTTTATCAAGGAGAAAGACGTTATTGCCCTTCTTCCTGTGGGATTTGGGAAAAGCTTAATAAATCAGTTAGCCCCGTTAGCGGCGCATTATATACATCATGACCAAATAGCAGTGATTGGTTAAATTAAAAAAGTACCCGCCTACCGTCGCGCAAATGAATTCTAATGCTGCAAGGTCAGACTGTTTCCACAAAGTGAAACCGTCTAATGAATCAGCCTAGTCCCATTACAGATATAAAGTAAAAACAGCTCTTGTCAAAATGAGACTGATATGCGCTGTCTGCATCTAATTTAATTGTTAAAGCAGTGATTTTTCAGCCCAAAGTTTGGAGGATCAATTCCCACTTGGACCAAGTTTTGTTCCTATGTCTTTGTAAGACACTTCACCCACCTTGCTGAGTATGAAAGTGATGTGTGGAGAGGCCGATAGGCACAGATAGACAGCTTTGTCAGTCTGTCAGTCTGGCCTAGGACACCTGTGGCTACAATGAAAGAATAAGATACTGTAAAGAGTAAGGCTGGTGCTTTGTTAGCAATGCATTAGTGAAGTGAAGAATAACTTCGCAAACAATTAAAATGCTCTAGCTCTGTTTTTCACATGGTTTAGAAAGTAGAAAATCAGGTAGAGTGCCTTTAAGGTTCTGCCAACACAATTTCCCACCGTTTCAGTAAGTGAAGAGGCAGAATAGACCCCCGGGGAAAAGCCAGGGACTTCACAGCAGGCATTTCAAATAGCAGCAGCCTCCTCTTCCTCTCCTGAAACTTCTAAAAGAACAAAGAGCGCCTCTGGTACTAACTGCTCCGTCACACTCCAGGTGGAATACAAATGATAGACAGAGCGCCCAGAACCTCAGCTAACTCTACTTCTAATTTACTTTTTTAATTCTGCATGTATCCAGTGTTTCTGTCAAGCAGCTACTTCCACAAGTATTTATCACACTACTACCATGATGCGCAGGAAGCAATCTGTTAAAGACGTGGGTTGTGTGTTCAAGCTGGTCTATCATTCATAACCGCAGATCTAACGCAAACTGTTTCCCTGGTCCCATGTCAACAAAAAATTTCCAGTCATTTCAGTCCTTCATCAACAAAAGACGTGGTGTACTCAGATATGCTGCATCTGTGGTCGGGTTTTGTTTTGCTAAGCACAAAATCTCCAGTTCTGCAGTCATAAACAGCTCTACACTATCACACTGAAAGTACAAATCCAATTCAAAAACCTTGGAACAGACTGAAACCTGTGTGCCCCAGTACACAGATGCATTTGAAATTGCATCAATAGTAGAGCTGTTTGCTTTTAGTTGTGTCTTAGTCGACCAAAGTTTGTATCAGTCCACTTATCTTTACTTTTTTATTTTTATATGGGACAACAGCAGAAAGGAGGACCTAGTGAGTGCATGAGTTAGCTGAAGATTTGGTATTTTTTGGTATTCACAACAAAACACTTGTACAAAAATGAATGTACAGTATCTGATTTGTCCCATGTAACTACTATATCCATATGAAATAAATAAGTAAAAAGATTAGCAGATTAAACCCTTGATTCACAAATCTGTCTTTCTATAAAAAAAAAAAAACGTTATTCTCGTTCTTTTTTCTATATAAATCGTTGTTTTTGCACAAACTCCTGTGCAGGTGGTGAGTGCAGTTTGGGTCAGATACACAGAGATACAGATGTGATAATTTTGAGAACTTTTACCAAGCCCCCTTTCAGTCGACTAATTGATCAGCAGGACATGTCTTTAGTCAACCAAGAGTTTCTTTAGTCATTTACAGCCTTAATTAATTAATAATTTTTTTAAAAGTAATGTAGAAAATTAATTCTGTCTTCAATTTTCTAGAGCAGGGATCTCCAATCTGTAGCTCGGGAGCAACCAGTAGCTCTCCACCCCCTTTAAAGTAACTCGCCAGAGGATATGTGAATTAAATGTATTGTGCTTACTAACAAAAATCTGATTTATTTCCTTGTAAATGTGCCATTTTGAGGCCTAACTTATGCACTAATAAATGGGTAATGGTTTATGTTTAATACGCAACTAACTGTACCCCGTCTAAAGCTTGCCATAGCTCTTCTGCTTATTCAATTTCTTGCAACCACTAAAATGAGTAGCTCTTTTGCATTTTTTGTTTCATGAAGGTAGGTCATCAGAGGAAAAAGGCTGGAGACCCCTGTTCTAGAGACTATCAGAATTCCTTTTATCAGATACAAGTGTATGTTAACCTTCTTTACAAGCTTCAGCTACTTTCAACTGAGACAAGGGAGCCTACACTTTGTCACACACATTGGATGAAAGTAAGTGAAGGAAAGCAGCCTACAAAACACATCACAACACCATCACCCCTTTTTAGCTTGAGTTGTAATTAAGATCAGAAGCAGTCTCCCCTTCTTTCTCCAATCTCCTCCTGCCACCTACGGAGAGATTATTCCCCCTGTTAAACACATCCTTCTCTCCTTTCATCTTCACATCACTAACAACTCCACCTGTCATCACCAACTTAATCTATATATTTCCTGATTAAAAAGCATGCAAGCAGTGTTTACCCAGCTCCACAGACAATGCACTTTGCCTTCTGTGTTTGTGTTGGGTGTCAGAGGAGAGTTCGATCGCGCATGCACCTGTGCACTGGAGCTCCTCTGTTTGATCATAGGGCGCAGGAGGAGCTGTCCACCTGCTCGTGGTGCTGAAATCCCTCACCAAACCACACACACGCATGTACACACACACACAAACACACACATGCACAGTAACCGACCTCCTCACAGTCGTGTTTGTACATTCTATCAAACGTTTCACCGGCTTCTACAGCTGTTGCTATATGCATCCATGTAACTCTATGAAATCCACTCTTGCAATCTCAGCCTGACTGTTTAAATATTCATGTTTGTGTGGTACATGCTGATCACTTAGCTGTCTGACTTCAGCTTTGAAAAAAATAAAAAAAGATCTAAAAACTGTAGAAAAATGGTACTGTAATTTTTATAGCTGCATGTTAATTTATGTAAGAACAGCAAATTTTAACTTGCCCTTTACGCAGCTCACATTTTAAAAAGCCAATATGAATGATAATGCAAACGCAATTAACAACTAAAATGTCAAACCCCCATTATTTTAAAGGGTATGGCGCTATATCGCAGTCACATGCAGATGCTAGAGTTAGAATTCAATCTTGTGGTTCCAGTGCCACCCAGACTTTAAAATGCATAAGAAATCGTATGAGTTTCAGTTGTGGGAAATAAATTGGGTCTGTGAAGTACCGTGTGTCCTTACATTACCTCTGGTCCACATTGGCTCTTTTAAACTAAAGCAATGTATCAACAGGTCTGGATAAAGATAAACCCTGCCCAGGCTAGACCCACGAGGCGTTGTGTCTTCTTGGGAGGAATAAAGTAGTAAATGATCTCATTACCAAAAACAACTATTATCTCCATGTCAATTAGGCTGCGTTGGCTACACACAGCAGCAAAAGTATCTGAAGGAAAAATAAGATGTCGACTTGCACGTCTACGTAATGAACAATAGGTATTATAAGGAACATAGATAGATCGTCTGGGTTAGGTGTAAAGCTGACACGCTGTCGGAAACACTCCCCAAAAAGCACGTAGCAACACGGCACTGCTGCGTAATTGGACATTCCGCTGCTAAATAAGTTCAATCCCCATTCCCAAACATGACAAAAGCGCATTTCTGGTAAATCAGAGCTTGTTGGTGACTCTGCTATCGCTCACCGCAGCACTCACAGCAGCCAGCCCGTGCACCCTCCAGCCATGCAACTTGAAGGAGACGATTACGCCAAAAATAGCGCAATAAAAAGCCCCCGCGAGTAGCTTCAAGGAAAAATTCACGAGATAAAATGTGAAGAAAAGCGAATCTCACCTACGAAGGTTTCCTGATGCAAGACGTCTGCGGATGGGGATGCTGCTGCTGCTGCTGCTACGCGTGTTTCTCCAACAGCAAGAAACAAGAGAAACTCCCACCTGCCCAGGGACCGTCTCTCAATACAGGCCGTGCGGCGAGAGGGCTGCGCAAGGGAGCGTCAAGAAATGGACATGGTTATTAAAGAAGACATATGCTTTTTTCTTTGCATAATACTTCACTGTTCACTAACTTATATGCATGCATTCATATTGGCATTTCACCACAACTAGCAGGAGATGTTTCTGAAAAAATGGCTATGTGGCAGTTTTGAACACTATGCATGACCCAGAGTGTAATTCATTTGAATAACTGCAAGCAAGTACAGTGGGCGGAGATAAGGGAAGATGAAAACAGATAACTTTTTTTTCTGAGCACTGCAAGATACAGAATTACTCAAACGTGGATGAAAGAGTCAAATTACTTCGAATGAGCCAATAATGCTGTCATAACATGGTTACAACCTCATAAAAGTACATTTATATCACATTTAATCTGTTTGGATAATTACATTTAGCATAGCCTAAACTTTTTTTTTTTTTTTTTTTTTTTTTACATCAACACAATGGATAGCCTTATCTTTAGAAGGCCATTTATTTTAATAAAAATAATAATAAATCAGTAGGAACCAAGGAGGATCATATGTGTGAGTGTATCTGTGTGTTTTTAATCAATAATTAATCAGTTATATAAAGATAAGAATAAAACATATATTAATTTATTACATAATAGTAACAGGCTAAAAAATAAATGGCTTGAATAAAATGTTCTGTGTTTGACCTACCCCCAAACCAGCCTCCGGATCCAGGCCAGCAGGCGGCACTAGTGGATGGAGCGCGCAGTGTGAGGATGAAACGAGACGTGGCTGGCTTTTGGAGCTCTACAACTGTGTCGCTGTGAATAAAGAAGAAGCAAGACTGTGAGCTGTGCGTGCAGAGGCTCGTGGTGCGCCTGAAGACAGCTGCCGTGCCGCGCGTCTCCTCCTCACCCGCAGGTAACAACATCACATCTTAACCGGGATCTGTCTGCTGTGTTGCCATGGAAATAGGCTTGACGCCATCCTCAGCATCAGTATCATACGGAGTGTTATTGTAGAGAAACGAGGCTCTGCTTTGTGCGAGCATGGCTTCATAATGGAATAAAGCTGCACAGTATTTTGTTCACGTTTCGTTCTGTTATTACGCGCTTTTGTGCTGGGTTTCTGTGGAGAGGGAAAGCACAGAGGAGCAGCTGAGGTATTATTAGCCCTGTCAATGGCCCCTGAGAGTCCCCAGACCCAATTTCACAAAATGAGTTTTTCAAGATGAAATAGGGAGCCACATCACATCTACTGTCTGCACTAAGGATCAGTTTAAATTCATTCTCAATTGCTAAGACTTAAGATTTCCCAGCCACCATGTATATGATATTATACCCTATAAATGTTATGAGGCAAAAACATGCTATTCATTTGGTCCTTCATACATTTTTATTTGCATTTATAGAATACCATAATTTGTGACCATTTATTAAAGCACCATGTAACTTTTCTAATGATGGGTTAGACACCTGCATGTGCTTTGTCTGGAATGTTTCACAGTATGGAATTAAATCTATATGTTTTGCATGTATTTAATTATAGGTGTTTTATTGCTCAAAAATACATAAAGAAAGATATGCAACCTCTCCATAGATCTGACCTGTTACTTGCTTGTCTCCATGGAGACAATGCCATATTGTGGTACATTCTAAAAATTAATAATGTCCCCATATCGTACACTCAATCAGAAAAGTTACATAGTGCACCTTTAATTAAGCTTTCTTTTTATTTTCTGATGCTACACCAAGATTAAAGGTGCCCTATATTATGCAAAATTGACTCTTGAGCTTTAAGCCATGTTAAAATGTTGGTACCTCGTCAAAAACATACCTGGAGTTGTGTTTAGTTTCATTCACGCATGTTTGAAAAACCCTGGTCTGTCTATGTCTCCAAAGCTTAAAAGGCACATCACAAGTTAGAACAGAGTGTTTTCTGCCTGAGAGAAGAACTCAGTCTAAATGTGCAGGGTTAAAAATGTGTGAATGAAACAAAACACAACTCCAGGTATTTTTTTGTTGGAGAAACAACCTCAAAAAATAGACAGCTGCCCTTTAAAGATCAGACTGGAATCTTACTTACATATTATTGTGATTTAAATTTTAATTATGTATGCCAATATCTATAAACACAATTATTTAATAATTCACTTGCAATACATTATGTTTTGTGCTTGCTTCTTGCTTCAGGTATGTTCACCCGGATGGTAAAGCTGAGACTCCTGAATGCTGTTGCTCCTGCCTACTTCTTCGTGGCTACTGTGGTCACTTTCATCCTGTACTTCTGCCTCTTCATCCCCACCATCTTCCCCGGTGCGGACACCACCCTGAGGGGCTCCACCACCCTCCACATCCTGGCCTTCCTCTTCCTCATGTTCAATGCGCTGGGCAACTACGTAATGACTATCAAATACCCAGCCGAGAGCGCCAATGAGAGCGCGGTGCCCGTGTGCTCCCCTCACTGCTCCGACAAGGTGGACGCTCACTACCTCCTGAACGGCCGCCACTTCTGCAAACTGTGCAAGAAGGTCATTCTCAAACGGGACCACCACTGCTTCTTCACCTGGGAACTGTATCGGCAACAAGAACATGCGTTACTTCATCATGTTCTGCGTATACACGTCCTGCACCTGCCTGTACTCGCTGGTGCTCGGGGTGGCCTTCCTCACTGTGGAGTACTCCATCTCCTTTGACAATCCTCTGACTTTCCTCACTCTGCTCCCACTCTCCACAGGATACTTCTTTATGGGTAAGAAGATATCTTGTTCAGTCTTGGGAAATAACTAAGTACATGCATTTAAAATTTTAATTTTGAGTAACTAGATATTGATACATCACTAGCATCACTAAATTCTGTTAAGTTATGACCCACATTTTTGGTGTGGCCAGACCTCGACAAAAACTTTTCTTGTCACATCTCAGAAGTTAAACAGAGAGTATTTGGATGGGAGACTGCTGGTAATAGTTTGCCCCACGGCAGCTGTGGCTAAAGTAGTAGCTTACCTCTACCAAATATGGAGTCCATGAAATTATAAAACAACTGGAAATTGATGGCAAAACAGTATTTTTGTGGTAACCTCCCTGCCTCACACATGTTGGATTGCTGTACTGTGTGCTCCTATTGTCCAAATGGGTTTTCTGTGGGTACTCAGGCTTTCCCATCAACCTAAAAACACACCGTCTTCACCAGTATCCGAGACTCTCCTGAGGTGAAACCTAGAAAAAGATGTGATGAAGGGTCAGTGCTCTGGGTGGCTGCCCTAGTATTACTGAAAGATGGGTCAAATGCAGACCGCCTACAAATGACATTAAAGCTTTCATGCTTCACCTTTGTCTCACTTATCTCTCTTGCCCCACAGGAAGTATCTCAGGCCTGCAGCTCTTCCTGGTCCTGATGTTGTACGTGTGGCTGGGCATCGGGCTGGTGTGTGCAGGCTTTTGCTGTCAGCAGGTGCTCCTGGTGGCTCGGGGGCAGACCTGGTGCCAGATGCAGAGGGGGGAGCTGGTGGACAATCACAGCCCCTGGAGGAGTAACCTAAAGGACGTGTTTGGGACGCGCTGGATTTTGGGTCTCATTCTGCCCGTTCAGACTGTGGAGATGAGCTCACAAGAGACAGAGGACCTCAAACAAGACTAACTCAGCATACTGTATGTTTATTATTGCACAACATGGAAACTATACAGTGTTCAGTAACAGAGATGGCCAAAAATTTTACTGAAGAGTAACATTACTTCACAGTAATATTCCTCAAATAGAAGTACAAAGTAGTGGTCCAGACTCACTCTAGTAAGACTACAAAAGTATTTGGGAAAAGTACTCCTCAGTTAAAAGTAATTTTAGGAGTAACTGTCTAAGTTGATTTAATTTGAAGAACAAAACATGTACAAAAATCTGGTATTTTATTTTCCTTTTTATATAAATTATTAACACAAAAATTAGGAAAACTAAGTAAGAAGGAGCCGTGGAAGAAACACAAATGTTCAAATCATTTCATATTGTCAACATAATGCTTTTGTCACTTGTAGACTTATTCACAATGTGGGTAAGTAAGTAAGTAAGTAAGTAAGAGTACTGTTACTTCAATCAAAGTATTACTATCATTATTATTAGAAGTAAAGGTATTCTGCTAGAAAAATACTCTGAAAAGTAAAATTTTCTTAAAAACTTACTCAGGTAAATGTAACTGAGTACTACCCACCTGAATTATGTTGTATTTTGCAGTTATCTTTAGATACCATTCTGAGAAGTTCAATTACTGATTAAAAAAAAAGTAAAGTGATAAATTCAAGTTATTTAATTTTAATGCTATAGTGTGGAACTTTCCACACCAAACAAAAACATTTCCATGGGGATAAGCTGGTGACAGACTTTCCATTTGAAGTGGTACATAGTGCACCTTGAAGTTCCCACACTGTTTCATTTGTCAGTTAGATAAACTCTATGGCCATATATTGAGTTTGTTGCTAAAACACTGATTTTACATTGACTGATTGTGAGAATATCTTAATACTTTGTGCAGCTGTGAAATAGGTAAGAGGTACACTTTTTAACAAATGAACTTTGATTATTGTGTTAGCGTTTGGTCCTTTCTTTTGAGGAAGGAACCATTACAATCTTTAATTTACTTGTGTGTATGTCTTAGTTAAGGCAATATTTTGAGATTTTAAACACATATGATCAAATATTTATATCACCAATACCTATATTTAAGGATTAAATAAATATATATGCTATAATGTTAAGTGCTTTTAAATCTAGGTTATTTCATAGCACATTCAGGATAAGGAATTGCACAAGTTGTATACTTTGTAATGCTCTAATAACTTAAGGGCTTGTATAGAGACGTACCGTCTCACAGCATCAAACTGCCCATTTTTCCATTCTAATAGTACATTGCCTTGTAAAGCAGTATTAGGCAGCAGGGTATTATCACAGTGTGCCATGACTGAAGTGTGCTTACATAAAGGTGAGGTATTTATTCAATAACCTGCTACTATGGGAGCCTTTTGTTACTAATAAGGGACATGTTTCTCTGTGGCTTATTAAAACCTTTATGTCTCTATTTTTCTGTGTATTTCTGTATGTAAATATTTGTGTTTGAGTTCAATAGACAAAGACAGTAATGAAGCAGTTTTATATCAGATAATTTAACAAAAATCACAATACATAAGCTTTTTCAAACAAGCTAGCAAGTGCAAAACACAGTAGTAAAACATCAATTTATAATATATATAAACTTTTTTTAACGATAATTACACTTGTAGCTAAAATAAGTAATATAAAGTTATACTGAAATGCTCGTTAATATAACATATCCAAGGCTACCTCTTTGCCCCATACATCTTGTTTCATTTCTAACCAGAACTGATATAAAAACATCCTCTAAAGGCACAGGCAACTAGAAAATATCAGTTTACACATTTTATAATCTGAAGCTGAAGCAGTCAACACAAGTACATAACCAAATCCCATTTAAAGTGCAGGAGTTTGTACCACGTTGTTTAGGATTTAGATGCCATTTCTGTAGCCCCATCACAAGTGGGCCAAAGCAGAAAGGACGAGGGGCAACTAAGTCTCAGTGACAAACGACAGTATATGGCTACAGCACCTCGCTACCAAGGTCAATATTATTCCAACAATAAATACACAGACAGAAAAGCAGCAAGCTCAGTAAACATACATAACTCAGTCTGATACATTACTGGACATGAACACAACTCAATGTAGACTCCAAATGAGGCAAATAAACAAGCTTCAGCAGGAATCTGAACAGATGTTATAGCAATAGTAAAGAAAACAGATAATTGTCCCACTCTTGTGCTGAAAGGCATGCCTTTATGTGGTTAACTATTGATTATAAAGAAGCATACAGCCTCTTGGCAAAAGGCAAAAAATATTAAGGCAGAGGTTTGAAACAGTTTCCAAACCGCAGCAGAAATATTTTAGTTTATTCGTCGCAAACTATAATACAACTCATGGCAATTAACATTAAACAACATATAAACATTGAAATAGCAATAGGGCTGGGTACTGTTTAAAAGGAACAATATTTTAAAGTTTTTATGCTTACTGTGTGCTAAGAGGTTACTGTTAATAAGTAGGCAATGTGACCATACATGAATGATAAATAAATTGTATTAAATTGAATTTATGAACATTATAATTCTTATTTGTTATTCTTCATAATGAATACACAAAAAGGTACAGAAAAACATATTGTTCAAGTACCAGTACCAGGTAGTGTTCCAAGTAGTGGTGCCTGAAAAGCATGTAAGGTACCCAGCCCTATTTAGGAATAACATCTGATTAAGACCTTGGAGAACACTGGAGGATTCCCTTAACCATGGCCTTGTGTGTGACATCACAGTAGGAGCACAGGGCTCTTAGCTGGGCTGAGCTCCTTCTCTGTGTCCTGCAGAGACAGTTGGAGCTTAGTCCACAGTTGGGCGTCTCCACTGCTCAGAGCCTCCAGCAGAAGAGACGTCTGCTCCTGCAGCTGCTGCAGCTGGCTCTGCGTGTGCCGGTTCTCCTTGATCAGCTGCTTCGTCCGCATAGTGATCCCCAAAAGGCCCGACTTGCTGAGGATGTTGTAGGTATTGCTGAATCGTTTCAGTTTGTTGCAGTCATTGGCGGAGGGATCTTTGTCAGTGCTGACGGAGATGTCACTTAAGGCGGCCTGGAATTCCTGTGTGTAGGAGGACACAGAGCTGAACCCTGTGAGCGGTGTAGGAGCCTTGTCACATCCCTGTGGTTCAGTGACTGGAGCCTGGTTATTCACTGTTGTGTTATTCTGTTTCACTGAAGTCTGCAGTGTGGCCTGTGTGCTAGCAGCACTGTACATTCTGTGGCTGTGATGGTGCCTTCTCTGTCGCCCGTCATTTTCAGAAGACCCTCTTAGTCTGGAGGATCCCGCCCTTTTGTACAGATGCTCCCCTGGGTGTGGAGCGATTCTTGGATAAGACTTGAAAGGTGTGTAGCTTCTTGATTGTCGACCATTTTCACAACCTGCCTTTGGGGTGCTGTTGCTGCCATTCGATAGCATAGGCTGAAGAAGAACCACTTGTGACTGAGGCATCACTTCCATGGGAGAGGAAATGCCCCATTGCTTCTCTGATGTGGCAATGTTTGAAGGCTAGAGGGAAAAATATACGTATTTATATATATATATATTAAAATAAAATACATTCAGTCCTCACTGCCTAAGACCCCAGCACCTGCAGCTATTCAGAGAGCCCTTTTAGGCTTAAACCAGCTGAATTTAGAAGTTGAAACTGGCAACCCAACTGAGAGACTCTTTTGTTTTCTGAGAACTAGAACTAAAACACCTAATTATAACATCAATAACTTGGCCATCTGTAATTAAGAATAAATGAACAAGTTTGTAATGCCAGTGGGTTAATGTCACTTATTACAAGTGTATATAAAATATTGAGGCGAAAACCGGCCCAACAAGACACTTAACACAGCAACAAATTCAAATACAATGTGACAATCTGTTCAAGAAACCAAAAGAGGTATTACCTGTTTAAGAAGAAAGTTGTTCATAATTATCATCGGAGACACCCCAGCATAAGAGCTACCCATCAAAGCCACCTGCTGAGCAGCTGGATCCTGGTTCAGCACGGTCTGGCCATGTCTCCCTGACTCCTCTGTGTCTGTAAGCTCCACTGCACTCAGGTACTCTGAGCTCGCATCTGATGAGAGGAGAGAGGCAGCGCACAGTAACATAAGCGCAATAAAAACAGTAGCAGATGTAGATCCATATCTGTAGGTCGTCTGTAAACGGACACCATCAACCTGATGAACAGGATTCAGGTCAGGCCTCACACAGTATGAAGAAAATGTAAGCCCATATGAGCTACTCTATGAAAAAGAATGACGGAGATCTCTAGTTTTGATTAAATTGCTATTTGTTTGTTTTTTACTTTTGAAAAACACAAACTGTTGTGCTGAAAAACACAACTTTAAAAATTGGCACATGAGTGAGCAATACTAATCCATACATTAGTAGTAAGTTTGTCATTCTTACCAGAGAAGCCCGAGTCCCGCTCCATGTCAGACTTGGCTCCCAGGTGCGTTGCCATTGTAAAGGACGGTGTCCTGTGTCTGCCGCTGCCAATGCTCATTGTGGCTCCGTGCGGGAGGTCAGCGTTACAATACACCTGCGGGGAGGATTTTTAAGATCATACGCCTCTGTATGGACATTCACCGTAATACATAACATTAATTTAAATAAGATAATGATGCTACACAGCTTTACGGTCGTGCGCGTGATTTTTTCTGTTTGCAGCGATTCAGCGTTTTACGGTAACGAAAGACGGTACGAAAGTGCGCACAAATCATGAGATCAATTTTGGTATCAAAACAATATGAACCATTTAACACCTACTGTAATATGACGCCCATCACAAGCTTTTAGTTGTTTTGAGGAAGAACTAGCGATCGGTGAATGGTTACGCGAATTGTTTACTACCGAGCCCGTTAGCTAGCGTGTAGCACAGGATGCTATTTTAGTTTGGCAAATCAATCGCGCAGTTTTAAGCAGAACTTACCGACAGGAAAAGTCCTTAGGGCAGGATTTCTGCTTAAACAAGTCGTCAGATCTGCGACTAACTAGGTTTTTGCATCAAAATGATGTGTCGCCAGTTTCCCTGTTCGTTTTGCTGCTACGTTCACTTCGACCACAGACGCTGCGCTCTGCGGTGTAACTCTGCCCTGAATGGTGTCTGCCAGGGAAGCTACAGATTTTAAATTACAAACATGGGGTTTTTATTATACCTCAGTCCAAAATAAATATAAAATAATATAATATATTAAAATATCACTATATAAATTATAGTATAACTCCACTAAAAGAATATATACTGAACAGTGCATAAAAATAGTCCTACAAGACAAAGCTGGGGGCAATAACACCACCTTGTGGGCATCCGCTGGCTCGGCATGCCCTTCAGACTGTAAATATGGGCAGGCGTACTGAATTTAGTTTTTCAAAAGTGAATGGTTTAAATGTTTTAACTGGTAAAGGATTTTAGAGCTTATGTGTAAAAAATGTCAAATTTAGTAAAGCAAACATTCAATAGGAGTCATTTATTGATAGAAAATAAATAGCCCAACTTAATATTAAGAGAATAACATGTCTAATTTACACTGTAAATGTAATGTTCATTCAGTGCACATTGAACATCATAGTAAATGCCCAACAACTTACCAGAAAGGACCAGAAATGACTCACAAGTGTGCTTGTACAGTGATGTGATTGTGTATAGGATACAACAGACTAAGCACAAAAACACTCAAATTAAGCTATAAGCACAAATTATTCAGTATTCATATTTGGTTTAATTTTGCATTTATAACCCATTACTGTTCCATCATATTGGAAACATTCAACACTAGAGGGAGACATTTCATTACCGAACTTAACAACAGTGGGCTATGACATTATCAGTCAGTTATTGACTTGGTTTTGGGCAAAATAAAATAAACTAATGCGTAGCCTACTGGTCCACATATTTACATCCTTCAATAAATACAGTTAACAAGCCTTTAAATAAAAACAACAATTTACAATAAATGACTAATATAAAAAAAACAAGGCTTCAGTCCTTTTGGTTCAGAATTGCACTGGCTCCCATAGAAGTCCATCATTTCAGGTGTGTTACGCTGTGTTCCACTGTCCCAGCCCCAGAACATAACAGAGGCCGGCCCGCAGCAGGAGGGCCCTTGAGCAGAGCCCCACTGAGCCCTGGCATGGGACACCCTTTCATCAGTCACCGGGCTGGAAGTCTGCGCCCACAGGGGGGTCATGACAGGCACTGTAGTTACCTACGTGGAACCTGGCATCTTCAGAGAACAGAGAAAACAGAGGGGTCACTGGTAATTGGTTTCTTTCAAAGACTAGAATTTTGAAATGATGTCACAGTCTGAGCTATAGGGTACGAGGAGCTAGTATTACATTTTATTTTATTAGTAAGGAAAAACACATGGATCATTTGGAGAGTGGTGGAAAGAGTAGCCTTTGTATTCAAGTAAAAATACAGTTACGTGACTAATACTGTACTCATATGCAAATAAAAATAAAAGTACAAGCACTGCTGCCAAAACTGTATTCAAGTAAAAGTAAAAAGTAAGCATGAAACATACCACTCCAAGTACTAGTTACTTTTTATTGACCACAATCCACATATTCTTTGAGCTCTGGCCATTTAGAGTAGGCAATGCAGCGCCACCTGTTATGTGTGTTTTTCAGTGCAGAAAGGAACAGACATGTAGACTGGGACTTGTGCAATACTCAGTAACTTCTATGATTTATAATGCAACTAATTACAATTACATGGCTAGAATTTAACTCAATTACAAATACAGGTTTAAAATCTACAAAAAAAAACCCCAACACAATTACCCCCAAATCTACTCATTACAGTGGCATAAATATTTGTAATTATTTACTTTCAATCCCTGTATTTTAGTCCGCTTTTGTTTTCAGACCATGAGAAAAAAAAATCAGCTAAAAAAATTCTGTCCAATGTTTTGATGCAATCTGAAACCTAAACACTAACACTCATGATGAAACATTGAAATAATTACCTCTCGCATTCTTTGTTTTTCTGCCTTTCTTTTCTCTTTCGTCCTTTTCCTCGCTGCCTTTTCCTGGATTAGCAACGAAACACAAGATTAAAATGCACATAAAAAGGACAATATGATGCATCAGTGCAACAAAACAGAGATGATTCAGGTGTTTGTTTACCTTTGTACTTTCACCTCCGGCTTCCTGGTTCTGCAACAAAAACACATGAATCACCCCATTGCAATACAACATTTACATTTATTTTGGCTGGAAAAAAGCATGTGTATTGTATGTATGAAAAAAACATGTTCTTTTGCAACACTTTCTCTTTTTTGAAACGACAAATTAGCTACAAGGTGAAGCCTATTTGAATATGCACTATTTAACATCTTTGGTGGGGTCTCCATAGAAATCTAATTTTCTTGCCTAGAATGGATTTATTTTCATGTATGTGCAGTTGAGCCACTAGACCAAGTCAGATCTGTGGAGAGGAGACCCCATAAAGAGTAGATTTTTTCAAGATATTGTTGAGCAAAAAACAGCATTAATGAAATAAACACAAGATAGAAGAGTTTAATGACATACTTCACAATCCAACAATCCAAGCAATGCTAAAACATCCTCAAGCACAAGCAGGTACCAGACCCTCCATCAGAAAGTTACATGCACCTTACATATTGAATAAAGTCTATGTTTAAAGAATGAGATAGTGATATTGACTCCAGCAAAATGACAGATGTTTCTTACCTACATTCACATGTCTGATGCTCCACAAACATCATCTCAACATATTCTTGACCTGGGTGGGATGGTCTTATTTTCAACAGCTAGTATGACAGAACATTTACCATTAGTATATTAGTGCATGAAATACATTATATCTGTTTGACTGCACCTGCATTGTGACGTTGGAGGTGTGGGTGGGGTGGCACTCCAGGTTCTCATCTCCACAGCAGCCGGAGCACCTGACCAGAGGCACGCAGGCCGGGCTGTAGATGTACTCCACCTCTGACGGGTACTCGTGTACTACCTCCACTAACTTCTCTATGGTTCGACAGAAGCTCCGCCCCCACACCTCCTGAAACATCAGCACTGGCACAAACAGACATGAGCATTAGACCAGGGGCACAAACATTTTCATAAAGCCTTCATTTAAAAAGCCAGAGTTGTGGTTTGGGTGACTACAAAATCATGGAGACATGAGGCAAATTCTCATGTAAATGACTAATTTCTCAATTAAATTATAGTCCATTTTTTAATACATACTCATTGTATGATTTTTGGCAACCCAACCATGAGCTTGTTAACAGAACATATTCTGTATTATCTTAAAAATGTTTTGATCTTGGCCACAGCCCTTAATCACAAAATGCCCATATAATAGTCAAGTAATGCTATTTTGATCATTTTGTATTATGTTGTTACTATATTTTTTTTTATTATATTTATGTTTTTACAACTGAATGTTTTTGTCTTCATAACAAACAAGCGGAAGAAAGCTCCAAACAGGAAGTCTTTCCCTCACTGCACTGGAGCAGGAACAGAGCTGCCCAAACTGAACTTGTGGAATGGCCATGACCTCCAGAGGTCATCCAGAGGTCATCCAAAGGTCAGCTGGAGGAGTCTGGCCCTGCAGCTGTTTACAGAAGTGCACTAGAGGGAGGAAGAGTTGTAGAAGTAACTCCTCTGATGTTAGGGTCAAAGGGCCAGTTCATTAGCCACTAATAAGTTTGTGTGTGTTATCTGGTGCTGCGTGCCACTCCAATCAGACTGTTTCATATGTTACATTCTTTTATTTGATACTTTGAACTGGTGAAAAGGAGCATTTAGATGCTGCCCTTAGCACTTCAGGACAAATGTCCAGACATACACAGAGTAGTACTTTTTATTCACAGGTAGTACTTTTTATTCAAAACTCAGAGATTCAAGGATTTTACAATTGAATTTTAACGTCAAATAAGGAAACTTACCTTGTTGTGTGGTGTTAATGCTTGGCGAGGGTAGACTCTGCAAAAGACAGAGACTACGAATTAGATTTCAACATAAGAGGGGCTGAATACGCAGAATTGAAATAGTACAGTCATATAAAAACATTTTAAGTCCTTAAGCCAGCAACAAAGACAGACTGCAAATGGTCTCAAAACAACTGCTTAGTTTATGTATTCACCGTATTCTTGCTACAACATGGATAAAAGAAGAAACAACACGAGAACAAACATAAGTTTTACATATGCAACATAACAACGCCTCCGTGTGGTAACACAATGTAACTACATAGTGTCATACAGCCTGACAGTGAGCACTTTCTCATGCACATCTCATATCTCCAAGTGCCCTACTGTTTATGTTCAGACCTGCTGTTGTGGTGCACCATTCAATATTGAAGTTTGTTTTGTTGACTTTCCCATCATTACCATAAACAGTGTCACTGACCTAGGAACAGAAAACCGAGCCTGCCTGACGACGTTACAGGAAGGGGACTTTACATGGGGTGACACGTCCTGGGGCATAGGCGGGGAACGGACACGCTGCTTCCTTGGGCCTTTGGGTGCTCAGTTTCAGGTGGTTATATAATTACACAAAGACTGACAGGGATTTCCCATGCACTGATGGAAACATGGGCTGATTTAACACGAGTACGTCCTGCTGTAGTCCCGAGTGAGGAAAGTGAGGATGCGAGGTGTCAGCACTGTGCAGTGTGATGAAAGAGGAATGTCCTGCTCTGATGAGGAAGACACTCACACATACACACAATCACACACACATGCTGCGTTTACAAGCCTTTGGAGACAAGATGATCTTAACCATAACCTAGTATGGATATTTTTTTTTATCTAATATTTGTCTTACTGCAGAAGGTATTTGCCAATACATTATTTTAAAATCCATAGCAATGCCCACAAATTTATGTTTTCAGATTAACTTTTCAGTTTTATAAAAAAAATAATAACCACATGCATTTATGTGGGGTACAGATAGGCCGGTATCTGCACTTTATTGGCTATCAGCCTTAAATCAGTAGAGGCCAGTATTTTGATTGGCCCAACCAGCTGCCTAAGTATTCATTAAGAACATATCCATAAAGCACATTTGAACACTTTAGACACATTTTTGCACTACTCTCTTTGAACTTCACTGCTCACTCAGCCAGTGTGTAGTAAAACAAGGTCATGGGGGAGTTTGTATTAAATTCAAATTTGATTATTTGGGGAAAATTACCAAAGAGGTCATTGGCTGCTCTGTATTCCAAAAAATTCAGTATCCACATCAGGTCATCTAATCACTGACCTGTTCAAAAAGAATTGACACAGTAACACATAGAGTCTGAGCATCTTAAAAAGGATATTGGTGCCAACTATTGAATTAATTTTCAATATCCAATTGATTCTGATATCTGGTAAAACCCTTCGATCATCACATCACCGATAACCATGTTGGAACCATTTTATGGGCCACCCCAACCTTAACTATAGCCTCTAACCTTAACCCAAACCCTAACCATGGACCTACTCTAACCCACATATGAACTTTTAACCATGCTGTTGGTCTAATAATAAAGGATACATGGTATGAGGACCTGATTTCTTTGTCCCCATAAGGAATGCAGGTCCCCATGATGTGAGTGTGTATACAGATTTCAGCCTCCGCAATGTGATAAATATACACACACAGACTTTGGAGTAAGGTGCATACTGCTCAGTCCTACATGACACATTTCACTCTAACCAGTGTAAAATGTTCCAGGCAGTGCTTCAGACTCATTCCTCCCTATGACCTCTGTGATCTCACTTCAGCTGTTGTTTAGATAAGTCATGTTCAACACAGGACTTGGATGAGCTGTTTAAAGATTTTATTATTACCCAAACTATGACTGGACTTCAGCGCAGGTAAAGATAGAGAGAGATACTTTACTGATCCCGAGGGAAATTCAAGTTTAGCTGCAGCGACGCACTGTGCTTTTTGTCTTCTTTGTGTCTCAGTCAAAGGTCTCAGTCCAGTTTAACAGGATTGATCAAGTCGAGTCAGAAGATCTGGGTCAGGGCAGTTTGAGGAGAGGAATAATCCTCAGGACAAAACATCCCTCCGCTGTGTCCTGCAGGCTGGATATCACAGCAGAGTCCAAGGGGAACCAGGTGAACACAACAGGAAAGCCCTTCTAATCCAAAGTATCTAATTACAAATACTCATATTACTGTAACTGAGTACATTTGTGGGTGATTGCACTTTTTTGAATACATTTACAAACATCCACTTATAACTGAGTGTAGTTCTAGTACAGTTCTAGTGTACAGCACCACAAAGCACAGTTGTCTCAGTGCTGTTTCTGTTCTTTTCTAAACACACATAACTCACCAGCTCTGATTGGAGAGAACTGAGAGAATATACGAAACGTGAATTATGGTTTAAACAACTTTGTAAAGCTTTACACTGTTTATCAGGGTCTGTATAAAATGTACTACTAAAATGTGCTACTAAAACAGCAACAGTGCTGAGTCAGTAATTCAGTTTAGTTTTAGCTATGTAGCAGAGTGGGCGTGGATAAGGAATAAACTGGTCATCGTCTGGTTAGTCACTGAATGGTAGGAATAAAGCAAAGTAAAAGAAAAAAGCATAACAAAGATAAGCACATAGCCTCACCTGACTCACAGGATTTACAGTCAAATAACATCAATCAGTGTTAGTAAAAGGGGAAAGCAGGGGTGGGGGGCTTTCTACAGAAATGGTATGTGTCCAACAGAAACATACATTTCTCAAAATCTAAATGCATCATTTCCTCAGTTCATCTATGATCTGTCCTCACTGTTGCTTTAAAAACTGTAAAAAAAATAAATAAAATGAAAATCTCATGGTATTTAGATCTTAAATTAGCATGTTGTTTTCAAGCAGGGTTTGAATGATGGTTAAGTAAAGGTTTGTAGAGTATTTGTAGAGCTGCGGTGCATGTGTGGGTCCTGCCTCTCTGTCCAGCTCAAGTGTGTCATGTTTAACCCCGGCCTGCCTCTTTCTGTCACAGAGCAGCTCAGGCAGGAGAACAACAAGTGCAGCTCACAACCTTTACTGAAAAAACTCTGCTGTTTATGGCAGCAAACACACTGTAAACATGACATACCCTTGCATCGATCACTCAAACCTGAACAATCACGTTCAGTACAAATTTTAAGTTTAGTAAATGTGGTCCAAGTATATAGGCAACTGTGTTTGAACAGTTTTATTTTTGCCCCAGAGTATCTTGGCAGAGTTCTGGGAAAGCCCTTTTCAGTCTTCTCAGATGCAATCAGACTGACTGGCAACATGCCACTGTTTTCTAAAGGTCTCCTCTATGTATAGTCACTCAAATTAGTCCCTGTTTCTGATTTTATAAAATTGTAAGCATATTACAAGTATATTTTCAGTGAGACGATGATGCACTACTATTTGACTCTGAAGACATATTACTGTAGCCTGACTCATCAGCCGGTTTCACTTCATGGAAACCGTCTGACCTCACAGCATTAGAATTCGTTCACTCGACGGTAGGTGGGTACTTTTTAATTTGACCAATCGCTGCTATTTGGTCGTAACGTATGTATTGCGCTTGTAACGGTGCTAACTAAGCTTTTCTTAAATCCTGGAAGAAGAGGGGCAATAACGTCTTTCCCTTTGATAAAATTCACCAAACATTCTCTTTGTTCCGGCCTTAAATCCTCTGTCTCGGGAATCCTTGCCAACACAGAATGTATGGCTCTTCGCTGATTGGCTGATGCCCGGACTCGCACTTCCAGGGTTCTTGCAAACCATCTAGTGTATTCCGATTCCTGACCTAGTCACTGGAGAGAAATGAAATTGAGCAGAGGCACTATGTGGCACCAGCCTGGCTAATAGTACAGCCCATGTGCACCACAATACTGTTCACAAAAGACTGAGTTCCTGGACAACAACCTGTCTTATTTGCCCATTTGGGACAATGCATTTTAATGAACACACATGATGATGACAATGGTCCAGGCCTTTCCCCGTGTTGTGTACACAGTGACACAGTGAGGTGGTCCGGGAAGGGGGCTCAGGTCTAATGGATCTAACTGGAACTAAACACAAGCAGAAGAGCAGAGCAGGAGGTCAGTTTGTCACCACAGACTCCTTCACACCACTGGATAATACATGTGTCATAGTTTATTGTTATTAATGGGTTTGTTTAGTATTTGACCATATTTGGAATCAAGCCTTTTTCCTGTCCTAAAATGACTTACCTGTGATATGCTGAGTGACAGCAGCATGCAGCAACATTCAGAAATTGTTCACATCTAGCCAGATATTTTCTTTTGCTGAAATCACGTGTCCTTTATAAGTCATGTTTCAACAATATCTCTAACCAGATTTTCTAAGTGAAAAAGTGTCTCTGTTTTGAATGTGTTGATGTCCCAGTGACTTAATGAATAAACAAAATAAACCAAGTGCAGTGTGACTTCCATGATGCATTCAATTTCAAACATGTGTGTGTTCTATATTATAATCATTTCTTTTCCTGCACAGCCTGAGAGTATGTAGTACAGTCCTTTTAACTGGACAAAGTGGATGTTGATTTAGATAAGTGTCATTTCCTCATGAGCTCGTGAATTCTTGTCCAAATGTCCCCCTAAAGACAGGCTCACCCCCCCACACCACAGCATCCACACACAAGCACACACACACACACATGCACACACATACACCACAGCATCCACACACAGATAAGACTGGCTGCTGCTAATTGTGCTCTCCATTACAGTAAACGCTGTTGTGTCCACTGCTGTAATGGCCTCCAGATGGCAGATTAAAGCCCTGCTGTGTCCACCATGCTGCCCCCAGCTCCAGGAAGAGGAGAAATCCATATTTCCTGATGTAGATTGGGGCTGTCCCCTGGGCTGGGGAATTACAACTGCAGACAAATACCACAACAAGCACACAGCAGGCCTATCATTTACTGGGTCAGCAATAGGGCGCGTACATACAACACAGGCCAATACTACAGAGAGACATGGAAGAGGCTC